AGTTTCTGGTATACAGAAAAGTGATTCAGTTTTATAAATACACACCCACACACAATTTTTCAGATTCTTTTCCATTATAGTTCATTACAAGATATTGAATATAGTTCCCTGTGCTATACAATAGGACCTTATTGTTTATCTATTTTATATATATAGTAGTTTGTATCTGCTAATCCTAAACTCCTAATTTTTCCCTTCCCCCAGAGTTTAAATGATTTTCCCAAAGTCACTTTCAAAAAGTGGGCTTTTCTAAAGAATATGAAAATTTCCCAATTAGCCACTCTAAATGAAATTAAGACTGATATATATTATATTTCTAATATCCATCATATTAGAAAACTGAGAAAAATTTAAAATATTTACATATATTTAGTTATTAATTCGATTAGAACAAAAAAATAAGCCCATTACCTGTTATCATAATGTACAATTTTGAAAAATAACTATCCTTTCCAAAACAAACAAAAAATAAGACAGTTCAAAGAGTGAACTGTTTTACAGTTTTGCAAATCTCTTTAATGTTTAGCTTAATAGACAACTGGATTCTCATGTATGTACTTGCATTCAATCTGCTTCTCTATACTGTTTTGGCTGAAATAAATGTAGAAAGTCCAGTCATACACAGAGGAGTAATTGACATAGAAAGAGGTATTTAATAGCCTTTTCAGACAATTGATGATATTATTCTTTGCTACTACATCAAAACTTGACTCATCTTGAAGAATGGTTTCAATGTGGAACCTGAAACAATCTGTCGAATCCATACATGTTATAACTCATATTTTAGGATCTTTTTTCCCAGTCTCATATTTTATAACCCTCATGTATGTATGTCCATATATATGTCATATATACGTGTCATAAATATATATATCTCATATACACACATGTGCATGTAGCAGGCACTGTCCTAAGCTCTTTATAGGTATACCTGATTTAATTCTCACAACAGCCTTACAAAGGTAGACATCCATATCTCCATTTTGTAAATGGAGAAACTAATGTAAATAAAAGTAAAGTCTCGGGACTTAACTGGTGCCGCAGTGGTTAAGAATCCGCCTGCCAATGCAGGGGACATGGGTTCAAGCCCTGGTCTGGGAAGATCCCACATGCCGCGGAGCAACTAAGCCCGTGCACCACACCTACTAAGCCTGCACTCTAGAGCCTGCGAACCACAACTGCTGAAGCCCACACGCCTAGAGTCCACGCTCGGCAACAAGAGAAGCCACCGCAATGAGAAGACCGCGCACCGCATCCAAGAGTAGGCCCGGCTCACCGCAACTAGAGAAAGCCCACGCGCAGCAATGAAGACCCAACGCAGCCAAAAATAAATACATTAACTAAGTTAAAAAAAAAGTCTCTTCTCAGAGTTTGCCAAGGTCACATAACAAGTAGTGTTAGACCCAGAATATGAATCCATTATGCTGTTGACTCCTACTAATACTACTTCCCTTACTATGGATGGAGTAAATACTAGAAAGTATGTGATTATATCAAGCATATGTCATCAACCCCATTTTTCACCTAAGGAAACTGGGATCTAGACAAGCTAAGTGAGTTACTTAAGGTCACAGAGGTTGTTAGAGGCCCAAACTGGGAACTTTTGCCTTCAGTCTTCTACAATTCAAGAAACCCACAACACAGTAGTCACATAAAAAGGAGACTACAATTTCTTTGTTCATCTATGTTAGGAATAAAGTGGCTAGTATAAATGGGAAAGGTTTTCATTTTCTTCAGAAAAATATATAGACAAATTTTATTTTTCGTTCACTGTTTTGGTCCAAAGTTATTGGATAAAAATTAATATTTTCATAAGCACAGGCTTGCACACATAAACAGGCACATAGAAACTGGCACTTTAATTCTAAATTTTTATTTAAAGGATTTAATCACAGCAAAAAAAAAATCTACGTCACTCAAGATTTCTTTATTTAATGAGTCAAAATAGACAAAATCTAAAACAACTAGAAGAGTTTCATATATGTGCTACAGTCAGATCTTTACAATTTACTTTCACTGGTAAAGTCACCCTTTCTGTCAGAGACTCTAAGTGAAATCTGGTTCTATCCTGAGCTTCTGAACACATAACCTCCTGGGCAGTGCCTTGTATTGTGTTGCTAGAGTCTTTCTTGAGATTATTTTACATCTTCAAATCATCTAACTTTCCCCTGATGAGCAATAGTTAAAGGCCATTTATAAAGTTACTGAAGGGACTTTCCTGGTGGCGCAGTGGATGGGACTTTGTGCTCCCAATGCGGGGGACCCGGGTTCGATCCCTGGTTGAACTGGTTCCCCTGGTCAGGGAACTAGATCCCACATGCATGCCGCAACCAAGAGTTTGTATGCCACAACTAAGGAGCCCACCTGCTGCAAGTAAGACCCAGTGCAACCAAAAAAATAAATATTTTAAAAAATAAAGGTACTGAACACAGATCAGAATGATCTGATTTCAGTACCTTTATTCCTTCAGTACCATTTCCTTCACTTAATGCCCTTGAAAGCTACCACATGACCAAGAATCTCCAAATTCTCTACACATTATTCATGGTCCTCATGATTCTGAGAAACTAATAAACTGTCTTCATGGACTCTCCCTTGGCTCTCATGGGCCACACAAGGTGGTTCACCATTCTCTCTAATGACCTTGTCATGAGATACACCACTCAGCTCTTGTTCTCTCTTCTCCTCTCACTCCACTCCCAGCCAGTCTTGACTAGTGGTGAATAATACTCACCTCAGTGTACCATGACCTCAGAAACCTGCCCACAACAAGCACCCCGCAACCATCCCCCCTTCTCTTCCCTGCATTTATAGAGAAGCATATCCATGCCTCTTTCGTAGCATGAATTACTATTAAATTTGCTTGTGTGCCTGGAGCATGAGCTCTGTAATGGCAGAGATCTGTTATTCATCTTTACTTCCCCTGCACAAAGATTAGGGTCTGACGTGAAATAGGGAGGTCTGCAGAACTATTTGGTGAAAACTGTGTTTGATGTCTCGATCCACTTCATAATGTTACATTCCTTCCAAACTGAAGGTTCTTAGTCTAATAGAAAGAATGAAGCCTGGGATCCATTCTCTGGTTTGCTAGACATAGGACTTTAGGTAAATTATTTAACCTTTCAGCATCTGTTTTCTGTGAGAGTTTTGGAAAAGTAGTAGATAGTATATTGAAAATATATAAAGTACCTATCATTGTGACACATCGTAGGTGTTCAATGGAGTGTGGCTACTATTTACTTTGCTCCTGTGGCCCCTGATGGTCACACCCCTACTAAAGGTTGTGTGTGGGCACGTTACACACCTAGATGGAGAGAGGGCAGCTATCACCTGATCAACACATGTTCTTTAGAAAATTTCCTGGCCCTAACTTCCCACTAGGATCATTTACTAATCAATGACACTATTTAATATTGCCATAATCCCTTGTGCCCTTATTTCAGTGATAGTCATAACCTACGGAGGTTATATTTTTCTTTCTTTGTCTGGAGATTTCTTGTTCTGACATGCTTGCTATTTCACACTGAAATTATTCTGTACATGTATAAAAGAATCAAACTTTAAAATGAAGGGGGCTTCCCTGGCGGTGCAGTGGTTAGGAATCCACCTACCAATGCAGGGGATACAGGTTCAATCCCTGGTCCGGGAAGATCCCACATGCCACGGAGCAACTAAGTCCCTGCGCCACAGCTGCTGAGCCTGCGCTCCAGAGCCGGTGAGCCACAGCTACTGAAGCCCACACGCCTAGAGCCCGTGCTCTGTAACAAGAGAAGCCACCGCAGTGAGAAGCCCACGCACCGCAACGAAGAGTATCCCCTGCTCACCGCAACTAGAGAGAGCCCGCGCACAGCAATGAAGACCCAATGCTGCAAAAAATAAATTAAAAAAAATATACATATAGGGAATGTTGTCTTTTCAGAACCAAACCTTAAGCACTGACTAAATGATGAAATTTTAATTTTCTTATCATTATAAATGCACGGTAGCACTCTCTCTATATATATATCCCAGTCATAAAAAGTAAATAGGTTTCTTTGCTTTGAACTGAGAGATACTTTGGTTAAAAAGCATCCGTTGTGAGTAAACCTTACTTGCTTTCACAATACAAAGAACTATCTGGGCCTGCATTAGTTTAGATGGTCAGATAACTGATCACAGGTTAAATGTTGAGGGCAAGAGAATGACTGTTTATTGCAGTCGCCAGACAGAGAAGAGTGCCTGTCACGAAACAGATAAGAAAACTCTATGAACAAATGCATCTTCTCCAGCACTCAGCTATTACCAAGCCCAGCAGGAATTTGGACCTAGGCTTGGCTGACCCCAAAGCCCCTGATCCTCTTACTCTTGCCTCTCCCTGTCTCTGGAAAGCAGGATGCAGTATGTGAGTGGTCCTTCTAACGTGTTGTCCAGCTGCCATTCCTCATATCACAAAGTACAAAATCTATAACCCATTCCCCTTCTCACTACAATATTGGTAACCCAATTTGTCACTCTACCAGAACTACAGAAGGAAGGGAGGGCTTAAAAGAAGTCATCCCCCAAAAGAAATTTCTATTATCTCAGGTATATTTGGAGCGAACTGGAGACTAGAAAGGCAGGTAGTTTCTCGTACATCTATAGATAAGAGTGACCCTGGTAAACCATTTCCTGAAAACAATTTTTTGGTGCTGATCTGAAAGTGAGTGGTTCTGTTTGGTCTCGTGTTGGTTTGTGGGTAGTTGGTTTAGGATGGGATGAACCATTTTTTCTTTTAAATTTTTATTTATTTATTTTGGTTTCTCTGGGTCTTAGTTGCGGCATGTGGGATCTCCGTTGCAGCATTTAGGATCCTTAGTTGTGGCGGTATGAGGGATCTTTTTTTTATTTGCAGCACGTGGGTTTCTTAGTCACAGCATGCGGACTCTTAGTTGTGGCAAGAATGGGGGATCTAGTTCCCTGACCAGGGATCGAAACTGGGACCCCTGAATTGGGAGCACGGAGTGTTACCCTCTGGACCACCAGGGAAGTCCGGGATGAACAATTTTATGGTTAAGGGGTTGTGGGTAAGATCACTGCCTTCACCCCTCCTCAGGCTTGTCAGACCGGCTTGTTGGAAAGGATGAGCCTGTCAGTTGCAGGCAGCAATTTTCAGGCTATATGGACTGTAGAAGGGATTTGAGTTAATCCATTATTTCCCAAACTTGACCTCCCTCTGACCAACTTCTATCTGGCTAACCGTCTAATTTCCCTGGGGGGTTTCCTTTTATAACAAAACAACTTTGTTTTGATTTAGCCTAGGACTAGGCTTAGGTTTTAGGGAGGAAACGCCTTTAAACAATTTGCATTTGAAATGAGGAAGTGAAAAAAAAAAAAAAATGACGAGGCAAAGCCAGCTGTTTCCTACAAACCCTTGATAACGGTGCAGCGGTTCATTGTCCTTCTGCCCCAGTGGAAACTGGCTTCCGCCCTTGCCTTGTCTGCTGCTTTTCCAGCCTCCCTCACCTGTCCAGACAGCTGTAACCTCCCCACTTGTCATCACCCCCGCAAGGTAAGATTCTGAGATACGTGTGTGAGCTCTGGGACAACTCGGTCTTTACTCAGTTTTGAGCAAAGCTACACTTTTCTTACAATGGCTGTGACAGGTGACACTTTACAAATACTGCCTCCTTTAATCCTCATAGCTCCCTATGAAGAAGACTGTATTATTATCCTCATTTCATAGAAGAGGGAAGCGAGACTTAAGCCGTGTGTCCAAGTCATTTTTCTGATTCCAAGGCCTGTTCTCTGAACCAGAGGGTTTCAAAATGTCTTCCCATCAGCAGAGTGCTGGTTAGGAACAGAGATTTCCAGGCAGCCAGCTCAGAGATCCTGACTGAGTAAACGTGGAGTGAAGCCCGGCAATCTGTTCTAACGTCTCTGATGGAGGCAGGATTTAAATCTTTCCAGTGATGTTCTCCGCCTTTACATGGCCTGCTTGGTACAGCCCCTTCACACTTCTCAGTGCTGATTGATCACTCCCGCCGGGTTCTCAGAGCACTCTGCTCTCACGGCTAGTATATGTTAGCTTACTAACAGACAAGGCCACGGTGTGTTAAAATTAGCTGGTTTTAGTTCTGTCTTCCTGACTAGTTGGGAGCTACTTGATGCCGAGGATACTGTTTCTTTTTGACTTCCTCTTCCTGAATTGCTTCTTCCACTGATCTTTACATAGCTGGGTTCTCTTTATTATTGGGGCTTCAACTTAAAAGTTTCCTCCTCAGAGAACCTTTTATAATGACCTTAAGAATTAATTCAGCTCATGCAGCTCAATATTAAAATAACAAACAACCCAATCCAAAAATGGGCAGAAGACCTAAATAGACATTTCTTCAAAGAAGATATACAGATTGCCAACAAACACATGAAAGGATGCTCAACATCACTAATCATTAGAGAAATGCAAATCAAAAGTACAATGAGGTATCACCTCACACCAGTCAGAATGGCCGTCATCAAAACATCTAGAAACAATAAATGCTGGAGGGGATGTGGAGAAAAGGGAACCCTCTTGCACTGTTGGTGGGAATGTAAATTGATACAGCCACTATGGAGAACAGTATGGAGGTTCCTTAAGAAACTAAAAATAGAACTACCATACGACCCAGCAATCCCACTACTGGGCATATACCCTGAGAAAACCATAATTCAAAAAGAGTCATGTACCAAAATGTTCATTGCAGCTCTATTTACAATAGCCAGTTCATGGAAGCAACCTAAGTGTCCATCAACAGATGAATGGATAAAGAAGCTGTGGCACATATATACAATGGAATATTACTCGGCCATAAAAAGAAACGAAATTGAGTTATTTGTAATGAGGTGGATGGACCTAGAGTCTGTCATACAGAGTGAAGTAAGTCAGAAAGAGAAAAACAAATACTGTATGGTAACACATATATGTGGGATCTAAAAAAAAAAAACGGTCATGAGGAACCTAGGGGCAGGACGGGAATAAAGATGCAGATGTGGAGAATGGACTTGACGACTCAGGGAGCGGGAAGGGTAAGCTGGGACAAAGTGAGAGAGCGGCATGGAAATATATACACTATCAAATGTAAAATAGATAGCTAGTGGGAAGCAGCCGCATAGCACTGAGAGATCAGCTTGGTGCTTTGTGACCACCTAGAGGGGTGGGATAGGGAGAGTGGGAGGGAGGGAGACGCAAGAGGGAAGAGATATGGGGATATATGTATATGTATACTTTGTTATATATATTTATACTTTGTTATATATATTTATACTTTGTTATAAAGCAGAAACTAACACACCATTGTAAAACAGTTATACTCCAATAAAGATGTTAAAAAAAGATTATATCTCAATAAAACTAGAAAGAATAAATTAAAAAATAAAATAGTTAAAAAAAGAATTCAGAACCCCACCACTCATTCACTGTCGTATCACCCTATTTTCATATAGCGTAGAGCACAGAGATTTGCATAGTAGGTGCTCAATTAGAACTAGATTATCCAAAGCCAGATTAAGTACATGTGTAGGACACCAGGAAAAGAGGTACCCTGTTTTATTTTTAAATAGAAATCGACATATAATTATATATTTTTTTCTTTCTTTTTTTTTTTTTTTTTGCGGTACGTGGGCCTCTCACTGTCGTGGTCTCTCCCGTTGCGGAGCACAGGCTCCGGACGCGCAGGCTCAGCGACCATGGCTCACAGGCCCAGCTGCTCCATGGCAAGTGGGATCTTACCGGACCGGGGCATGAACCCGTGTCCCCTGCATCGGCAGGCGAACTCTCAACCACTGCGCCACCAGGGAAGCCCTATAATTATATATTTAAACTGTAGAAGTCATGTGGAAAAAAAAAAAATTAGGATTTTCCTGGTCTCTCTTCCACTTACATTATGGCTTAAAATAAGCTCCATAACATGTGGGGTCTTTGAGTCTCTAAAGGTTTTAAACTAGCACTGGTATGTGTTTAACATCTTCGTTTTCCAAAACATTTTGAAAATAAATTGGGCAGGTATTATTATTCAGTCCCATGCTGAAGAGGTGGGAAAAAAAAAAAAAGGAAGAAAAAAAAAAGGAAGGAAAAAAAAGGGAAGAATAAGCACACAAAAGAGGATGTAGCATCAGATCTCACAGGTTAAAGGCTCAGTCCTACAAGAGTGCCCCTTCCTCCCCACTTCAGACAGCAGTCACCAAGTCCCGGTTGTCACCTATGCTTCTGATCTATAGATTGGAGGTTCCAATGACTCCCTCCTTGGGTTTGGTTTATTTGCTAGAGCCGCTCATTTTACTTACTAGATTGCTGGTTTATTATAAAAGGATGTAACTCAGGAACAGCCAGATGGAAGAGATACATAGGGCAAGGAATGGGGAAAGGGTACAGAGCTTCTCCAAGCACACTACTCTCCCCAAATCTTCATGTGTTCACCAACCTGGAAGCCCTCTGAACCCCATCCTGTTCGGTTTTTACAGTAGGCATAATTGATTAAATCATTGGCCAATGGTGACTGAATTCAATCTTCAGCCCCTCTCCCCTCCTGGGAGGTCTGGGGGTGAATCTGAAAGTTCCAATCCTCTAATCACAGAGTTGGTTCCCTTGGCAACCAGCCCCTATCCTTAGGTTAGGTCTAAAAGTCATCTCATTAACATAACAAAAGACGCCTTTGTCACTTATCGCTTAGGAAATTTGTGCCAGAAATGGGGACTAAGACCAAATATATATTTCTTATTATAAATCACAGTATCACACCTGTCAGCGAGGCCCCAAATGCAAGGGCATCAAGAGTACAGAAAATAAGAAAATATAGCTTATATAGTTTAGTCCTGTAAACTCCAAAAAATGACTGAAACATAGCTGCAGGCTTCTGGAAATCCTCACCTTCTAACTGGAAGAGAGCCTGAGAGAAGTGGGAACACCTTGTCTTTTTCCATTGTCTTAGACTTTGTAATTAAATTTTGACTTGACATTCTTCCCTAGACTTGGGGATGACAGACCAAATTTTCTTGCTCTGTCCAGTTTTAAAAGAAAGGATTCTTGTAAATGTGTCATACTTTACCAGTATTCTTAATAAACTTTGGCAAGGGTGTGGCTCAGAATGAAACTACTCTTTTCAGATGTAAATGCAGGCATAGGTCCTGTAAAATCTTTAAAGAAAAATGATGCGAGAAGAGAAAACATGTCTCTGTTATCTCTGAGGAGCTGTCCCTTTCCAGAACCTAACCTGGGCCAGTAAACTGTTCCAACTCATCCTGATTGAAAATAAGAATGAGCTGGAGGGGATAGAGGTGGAAATGGAGAAGTGAGAAACTTAAGGAGATTGTAAGGTTATTTAGGAATATATGGTCCAAAAAGGACATTTAGCAGAAATCAGAGGGACAGTTCTCTCTTCCAAAAGGGAAATAATCTTTTGCTCCTGTTGGCATATTTTCCTGAGTATCTCTTGGATGAATTTCTGCAATAGCAAAATAATCAGTTTATCAATATGTAGTGGGTTTAGTGCATTACTTAGAAATGTTGATAGCACAGACTCTTAGACTTGTAGAAATTTTAGGAGTTAGAAAATTAATCCTTCACCTATGCAGGAATTCTGAAAAATAGTTATATTGTTAATACAGCCAAGTTATTCCATCACTAGACACCTTGTGGTGTTAATTTAAATGGCTGGATAAGTACCTAGCCCTTTAATGATATGGTTTGATCCAAAAGATAAAACTGAAGATAAGTAGAGAAAAAAATGAACCAAGAAATGTGTCTAACAGAATCTCCCACCTGAAAATCAGGTCAGTAATCTTAATTTAAAATTAGTTCTCAAAGCCAACATTTCGATAAACCATAGAGAGACCATGCTTCTTTTCTTTTCTTTTTTTAAAATTTCTTTATTGCATTTATTTTATTTTATTTTTTGGCTGCGTTGGGTCTTTGTTGCTGCCCGCGGGCTTTCTCTAGTTGCGGCGAGCGGGGGCAACTCTTCGTTGCGGTGCGTGGGTTTCTCATTGCGGTGGCTTCTCTTTGTTTTGCAGCATGGGTCCTAGGCGCGCAGGCTTCAGTAGTTGTGCATGGGCTTAGTTGCTCCGTGGCATGTGGGATCTTCCCGGACCAGAGCTCGAACCCATGGCCCCTGCATTGGCAGGCGGATTCTTAACCACTGCGCCACCAGGGAAGCCCCCATGGTTATTTTCTGATGACAGCCTGGATTGTCAGGGTTCTAGACTGCTAGTTGTATATGCGGGATGATTTTGGGGCTGTAAGAAGGAAAAATGTGACTGACTTTAACACTGAATGTATTTTAATATATTACATATTAATATAATGAAAGACATACTTTATAACGATTCCAGGGTCAGATCATTTAGCAGCTGGTCCACCTCATCAAGGATCCTTTCTGTCTTCTTGTTCTGCCTTCTCCAGACACTGGCTTGATGTCTCCCAGCTGGAAGAAGGACAGAGAGAGCACTCCTTTCCTCATTTATCTTCTGAAGAGACGAGGAAAACTTTTCCAAAGGCCCTCCTCTCTTATCGCATTGGCAAGAATCGTGTGGCATGCT